ACCTGCTCAAGGTGTTCGTTCCCACTTATACCAAGGTATTCAGTCCAAGTAGAATTTCCTCCTCCTCTCTTTGACCACAGCCTTCTGGGACATGTCAGAGGGCCCAGATGCTGGCTGGGTCACTCACAATAGCAGTATAGCTTGAGATTGCACTTAGCCATCTGTCAACCTGCACAGCCGGCTTCCCGTGCTAAACATGCCAGTGTCAGGGACCCACAGACTGGAAAAGAACCGGCCCAGGTAAGGAAGGCGCTGGATCCTTGGACACTAAAAAGTGTCCTTTTTAGTCAGCAGCTAGAGGAGTTGTAATTGCTGACTTTGAATTTTCCCCCTGGGAGCGTGTCAGCAGGTCTAAAACACCAGCCCCCTAAGAGTATGTCATCAGGTCTCAAAAACCCACCCCCTAGGAGTGTGTCATCAGGTCTCAAACACTCGCCGCCTGGGAGTGTGTCATCAGGTCTCAAAAACCCACCCCCTGGGAGTGTGTCATCAGGTCTCAAAAAACCCACTCCCTGGGAGTGTGTCATCAGGTCTCAAAAACCCACTCCCTGGGAGTGTGTTATCAGGTCTCAAACCCCCCCCCCAGGAGTGTGTCATCAGGTCTCACAAACCCACCCCTGGGAGAATGTCATCAGGTCTCAAACACCCACCCCTGGGAGAATGTCATCAGGTCTCAAAAACCCACCCGCTGGGAGCATGTCATCAGGTCTCAAACACCCACCCCCTGAGAGCATGCTATCAGGTCTCAAAAACCCACCCCCTGGGAGCGTGTCATCAGGTATCAAACACTTCCCCCTGGGAGCGTGTCATCAGGTCTCAAACACCCACACTCCCTGGGAGCATGTCATCAGGTCTAAAACACCCACCCCCTGGGAGTGTGGCATCAGGTCTCAAAAACCCACCCCTTGGGAGTGTGTCATCAGGTCTCAAACATCCACCTCTGGGAGCGTGTCATCAAGTCTCAAAAACCCACCCCCGGGAGGGTGTTATCAGGTCTCAAAAACCCACCCCCTGGGAGCGTGTCATCAGGTCTAAAACACCCACCCCCTGGGAGCGTGTCATCAGGTCTAAAACACCCCACCCCCTGGGAGCATGTCATCAGTTTTAAAACACCCACCCCCTGGGAGCGTGTCATCAGGTCTAAAACACCCACCCCCTGGGAGCGTGTCATCAGGTCTCAAACACCCACCCCCTGGGAGCGTGTCATCAGGTCTAAAACACCCACCCCCTGAGAGCATGGTATCAGGTATCAAACAACCACCCCCTAGGAGTGTGTCATCAGGTCTAAAACACCCACCCCCTAGGAGCATGTCATCAGGTCTAAAACACCCACCCCCCCCTGGGAGCGTGTCATCAGGTCTCAAACACCCACCCCCTGGGAGCGTGTCATCAGGTCTCAAACACCCACACTCTGAGAGCATGTCATCAAGTCTCAAAAACCCACCCCCTGGGAGTGTGTCATCAGGTCTCAAACACTTCCCCCTGGGAGCATGTCATCCAGCAGCTCTCAAACACCCACCCCCTGGGAGCATGTCATCAGGTCTCAAACATCCACCCCCTGGGAGCATGTCATCAGCTCTCAAACACCCACCCCCTGGGAGCATGTCATCAGCTCTTCTCAAACACCCACCCCCTGGGAGCATGTCATCAGCTCTCAAACACCCACCCCCTGGGAGCATGTCATCAGGTCTCAAACACTCGCCCCCTAGGAGTGTGTGCTCAGGTCTCAAAAACTCACCCCCTGGGAGTGTGTCAAAAGGTCTCTAGAATCCACCTCCTGGGAGTTTATCATCAGGTTTTAAAAGCCCACCCCCAAGGAGTCTTATCCCCCCCCCCTGGTGGGTGTCATCAAGTTTAAAAAAACCTGTACCCAGGGAGTGTCATCAAGTCTCAAAAACCAGCCTATCAGCAGCCACTTCCTGACTATATGTACTCCAGCAATGACTTTGTTGCATTTCTCAGAACAGATTTCCTGATGGTGACAACAGCAGACAATACCTCCATAATGTGTGCGAAAGGACCACTTGTAGCAGAGGTATAACTAGAACCTTCAGGGTCCCGGTACAAGAAATGATGAAGGGCCCCCCTGACCCATTGGTCCCGTGGCCCTTTCTATCATTCCTGTAGCCCTTTCCCTCTTGTTCCTACTGATCCTGAGACCCTTTACTTCTATTGTGGGGCCCTTTACTACGTTCCTGCAGCAGAACCCTTTCACATGTTCTGCAGTGGGCCCCATTCCTGCTGTCTTAGGGCCCCCCCACCAGAGCCCAGTCGCAAGTGCCACCTTTGCAACCCTAATAGTTCTGCCACTGGCCCTGGCAGGGCACTAACCTCTCACCTAGGTATAGCAGAAGCTGCACTGAGGCATGACTTTGTGGAAGAGGTTTTGGCAATTACAGCCATGGCATGGTTTTTCTCCCTTTCATTTCTCCCCAGGCATGGTGATGCAGAGCCCCCCCAGCCCAAAGCATGGCGGTGATGATTCTGCACCCTCACTGTACCCCCCTGGAGAAGAGGAGGGAGGAGCAGAGAGATGAGCAAACTGCTGCCCTAATGCTCAAGAGGAGCTGCTGTCTTGCCCCCCCCCCCATAATGCCCTGGTTGCAAGTGCGACCTTTGCGACCCTGGTAGTTCCGCCACTGACTTGCAGTCTCCATTAGAAGCCTCGCGTGATGAGGTGACAGTACAGCAGCACAATTCAGAGACAGGTACAGAGCACCGTCACCCTACAACAGATAATGCCTGAACTAGGGCCTTCAAGGCGGGATCACCAGGGATTTATTTTAATAACGATGCAGAATTAAAGAGAGTTGAAAAGTACATCTAGAATTGCAGACGATCTGTGGCAGCGTACAATCTATGGCAGCGTACAATCTGTGGCAGCGTACAATCTGTGGCAGCGTACAATCTGTGGCAGCGTACAATCAGTGGTAGTGTACAATCTGTGGCAGCGTACAATCAGTGGTAGTGTACATTCTGTGGCAGCATACAATCTGTGGCAGCGTACAATCTGTGGCAGTGTACATTCTGTGGCAGTGTACAATCTGTGGCAGCGTACAATCTGTGGCAGCGTACATTCTGTGGCAGTGTACATTCTGTGGCAGTGTACAATCTGTGGCAGCGTACAATCTGTGGCAGCGTACAATCTGTGGCAGCGTACATTCTGTGGCAGTGTACATTCTGTGGCAGTGTACAATCTGTGGCAGCGTACAATCTGTGGCAGCGTACATTCTGTGGCAGTGTACATTCTGTGGCAGTGTACAATCTGTGGCAGTGTACATTCTGTGGCAGTGTACAATCTGTGGCAGCGTACAATCTGTGGCAGTGTACAATCTGTGGCAGCGTACAATCTGTGGCAGTGTACAATCTGTGGCAGCGTACATTCTGTGGCAGTGTACATTCTGTGGCAGTGTACAATCTGTGGCAGCGTACAATCTGTGGCAGTGTACAATCTGTGGCAGCGTAGACAGCTATCAGTCCAGTTGGGGAAGAGAACGATGTAACAAGCGGTAATAGCGGCAGCAATGGATACATTGATGACTGGGAGGAGTTTGAAGCACAAAGCCCTCTATGGATCCGGAACAGCGGGGAATCGGATGATACAAACTCGTCTTTACAAATTGCCGGCATGTCAGACTGTTCCTCTGTACGGCATGCATTCCAATCCTCTACTATGTTTCCTATAGGGACCCCCATAGAAAGGCCTGAAAACTTGTTTGAGGGTCAACTTAACATTTCCATTCCTTCGTTTGGCGCTCTAAGAATCTACTAACCATTTTTTTTCAAAACGCATTTTATAATGTCTTATATTACAACAGACATGAACCAGAACCTGAGGATGTTTCGTTTGACAAAGCACTGCATGTGATGGGAGTGACTTTTGGGGGTGGGGGGACCCCTGTCTCAGCTCCCCATATCCCTATTATGTGTAAGTCACCCTGTGCCTGTTAGGGGTACAGGGTGGAATGTTCTAATATTGGGGTGGGGTGGGGTGTTCATTGTTCACTGCCATGCGGCTGCATCCCATTGTTCTACTGTGTGCCTTGCTTGGGAGCAAACTATTATGGGATGTATGTGTTTGTACTGGCTTGGTGGGGGGTGTTTCCGGCAGCCCTTCCCCCTGATGGGACGGCCTGCTGATGTGTTTCCTGTTACTGGGTGTATTGCCCTGCCCTGTGTATATATCTTGTATCTGTGTTAAAATAAAGCAGTCCACTTCCAGTTTTAATACAAGTCTGGTGCTGTCTAGTCCTGTATGGTCAGCGGTGGGGTCCGGGGATCTGTGTTCGGACAGGGAAGTGGGAGTCTAACGGGAATACCCTAGTGCAGTCTGGGTCCGGCTCCATTACAGTGCATATAAATAATAGAAAAAAAAATTCCCATAAAATTCTGGTTTCACCTTATCCTTTATTGCATCTTAACCCCTTCCCCTCTCACAACGGATTACCCCTCTATAGACTCGGACAATTTGTACATTTCTGATATGGATATGTTTATTCAGCAATAACTTTGAGGAAAAGAAATGTCATCTCCAAACACGGAAAGGTTTCTTCACAGTAAGAGCTGTGAGAATGTGGAATAGACTCCCTCCAGAGTTGGGTGTGGCCAGCTCAGTGGATTGCTATAGGAAAGTCCTGGATTCTTTCTTGGATACACAGAATATAACTGGACCAGGGGCGGACTGATCATTTGGAAATTCGAGCCCGGGGTCAGTAGGGGGCCCCATGAGATGCCCCTGGTACATTTTTCATAGGCTTTTTTGAGTTTGGACAAGGACACAGGGGCCCCATGATCCCCTATTGCCCGGGGGCCCCATGAGTTGTCAGTCCGCCCCCGAACTGGATATAACATTCATAGGGAAAGTTGATCCAGGGAATATCCGATTGCCTCTCAGGGGATCAGGAAGGAATTCTTTCCCCTGCAGGAGCAAATTGGATCGTGCTTTGCTGGGTTTTGCTTCCCTCTGGATCCACTGTGGGTGTAGGATTATGACTTTTATTTTTAATGGTGGAACCAGGGGCGGACTGACCATTTGGAAACTCAGGCACTGCCAGAGGGCCTGGGGTCAGTAGGGGGCCCCATGAGATGCCCCTGGTACCTTTTTCATAGGCTTTTTTCAGTTCGGGCAAGGACACATGGGCCCCATGATCCCCTATTGCCAGGGGCCCCATGAGTTGTCAGTCCGCCCCTGGGTTGAACTGGATGGACTTTTGTCTTTTTTCAGCCAGACTAACTATGTAACTATATTACTTAAAGTAGTTGTAAAGGCTCAAGGTTTTTATTTACATTCATGCATGCTATGCCTCAAGGTAAAAAAAATATTCTGTATTCAGCAGCCCCCCCAAAACTTACCTGAGCCCCATCGTGATCCAGCAATGTGCACAGGAGCCTCGGCTGTCTGGGGACTCTCCTTCCTCATTGGGACATCAGTGGGAGCCATTGGCTGTCACCCATATGGAGGAAAAATATATTTGAAATGTTATAAAGCTTTTGTCAAAATATATTTCAGTATATATATATATATATCTCTGTGTTTTTCTGATTTTGCATTTTTAGCGTTTTTTTTTTTTACAAATAAAAACTTTTTTTGGTAAAATAAACATTACAAAATGCCGTTTTGCGACGTTTTGCAGCGTTGGAGCATTTTTTTACAGCTAAAAAACTCCTCTAGAAACCCACTACCCATATGAAAGAAAAATATATTTGAAATATATTTTTAAAATATTCTTCCCAAACATATTGACATATATTTGAATTTCTACAACTTCAATATATATATATATACACACTGCATGTTGAATTGTGTTTTTATTTTTTTTTCCATTATATCTTTTATTGAATTTTCTTTTTAAGAAAAAGATACCTTACAAAACCTTCATAAATCTTTTTACATCATATATATAAACTTTATCCCCATACCCACCCCAACACACCCCTGTCCAATCTCATCCTCTCTTTCCCCTCCTATTAATCTAGTAATATATATATATATATATATATAATTATTATTATACAGTATTTATAAAGCGCCAATAGTTCGCTCAGCGCTGTACATTACAAAGGGGGACAGAACATGTGACAGAACAATACCAATACAATGTGATACATGAGGGGATGGAGGGCCCTGATCCTTGGAGCTTACAATCTAGGATATATATATATATATTAAAAATACAAATCTACATTTTTGGAATGCATTTACAAATATATGTAAAAAAATGACATTTTTATATGTTACAAGAAATCTGAAGAATATATTTAAAAGAATTTGTTTTGAAAAATATATTTTAAATATATTCGTCAGATTTTTTTAACATATCAAAAAGCCATTTTAACATATATTTGTAAATGCATTCCAAAAATGTAGATTTGTATTTTTAAAGACATACAGGATATTTGAATTGTATTTTTAAAAAAATTTATCATATATTTTGTACTCAAAATGCATTTCAACATGCAGTATATATGTATATATATATATTTACTGAAATATATTTTGAAATATATTGAATACGGCCAAAATTATAGCATTTCAAATATATGTCAATATATTTGGGAAGAATATTTTGAAAATATATTTTTCTTCCATGTGGGTTATCTCATTCCTCTGATCCTGACCCGGCTTTTTCCTGACCTCCACTTGTCTGCCACCTGCCCTGACCACGGCTTGCCTTTCGATTCTGCTTCTGCCTCCTGTTCTTGCCTGATTGATCCTCCTCTGGTCTTGTGACCCGACTCTTCCGCTGTCTGTGTGATCTCCCCGACTATTACTGACCCCCATCGCCTGACTCCACATCTTGCTCGTCCGGCTTTCTACGGCCCTTCAGTCCAGCAAGTCCACATCTGGGCCCCCACAGTCAGCTGCCAGCCCAAGCTCCATGTCAGCTCCTCTGACACCGGCCTGTCCAGCTGCTACCCCTACCTGCTGACTACTGCTGCCATACAGACGACTGGACTGACCACAGGCACTCATACCCTTCCATGCTCCCAAGGCTGCTGTTCCACTATCAGTGGCCCTTGAGCTGGAGCTGTATGAAAGGCCTTCCTCCTCACATCAGGCAGGGCCCCCCAAAGAAAACAAAGTTTACTATGCTTCATTTATGAATGGACACAGTAAGTGATCGGCACAGATGACTCATTGGTTTCATTCAGGAAAGGAAGGGTCTGGCAAAGTTGAAATATTTACCAGACCCTACCCCCACTCTCCATCCTGAAGGATCCTATTGTGTGCTTGCAGCTGCCAGAGGCAGGGAGAGGAGGGGGGGGGCCGGCAGCACTGTGAGGGTGGGGGGCACACAGGGGGACCTGGGCAGTAGGGGGAATTGTATAGTGCACAGGGAGGTTGATGCGTATGATGAGAGGGTTGGGGGGGGCAATTACTAGTTAATGATCCCCTGTATGACCTTCTCTGCAGCAGCTGAAAGCCAGGAGGAGGGAGAACAGAAGAACCCAGGGGAGCTGTTCAAGTACTTGCCCTCCTTCCCCCGCCGTGCCAATCACCCTTCCTGCCCACATCCGATTCACCCAGCTGCCAGGGACCCCTGCTGGCCTAGACCCCGTACAGGAGGACTGGTGGTACCCCCTGATCCAGGCTCACTATCCAGGTACGTGACAATGATGGAGAAAGCAGTATAAAAAACCTCATATTTTGTTAATTCAAAAAAAATCATACCCAATATACTTTTTTTTGTATTTTTTACAATTTTAATCTAATTAAACACTAATTTAATAACAATATTGTGTCCCAAGGTGACATCATCTTGTGGTCTTATTGGTTTATTTTTGTGCACCTAACCCACTTCAAACTGGATGGACTTTTGTCTTTTTTTCAGCCAGACGAACTATGTAACTGTGTAACATCAGATCACTCACATTCGCCACACCCCCTATTCCCATAGATGAAATAAAAGTTAGGCATATACCAGTTGTCCCTATTATCCCTGATTACAGCTCTCCAACCATTTTGGAATTCGTCAGACCTGGCCACCTTCTTCCATTGCACCAATCAGCCATAACATCATGACCACCCACTATAACCCATTCAGCCATGGACTCCACTAGACCTCTGAAGGTACACTGTGGCATTTGGCACCAAGCTCTCAGTAGCAGGTCCATTAAGTCCTGTAAGTTGGGAGGTGGGGACTCCATGGATCGGACTTGTTTTTCCAGCACGTCTCACAGATGCTTGATTGGATTTAGATCTGGAGAATATGGAGGCCGAGTCAACACATCAAACTCATTGTTTTTTTCTTCAAACTATTATGGAATTCATCAGACCAGGCCACCTTCTTCCATTGCATCAACCAGCCTTAACATCATGACCACCCACTCTAACCCATTCAGGCATGGACTCCACTAGACCTCTGAAGGTACACTGTGGTACCAGCACCAAGCCCTCAGTAGCAGGTCCATTAAGTCCTGTAAGTTGGGAGGTGGGGACTCTATGGATCGGACTTGTTTTTCCAGCATGTCTCACAGATGCTCAATTGGATTTAGAACTGGAGAATATAAAGGCCAATTCGACACATCAAACTCATTGTTGTGTTCTTCAAACCATTCTGGAATTCATCAGACCAGGCCACCTCCTTCCATTGCTCCAATCAGCCATAACATCATGACTACCCACTATAACCCTTTCAGGCTCTGGAGGTATACTGTGGTATCTGGCACCAAGCCATCAGTAGCAGGTCCTTTAAGTCCTGTAAGTTGGGAGGTGGGGGCCTTTGAGTCCTGTAAGTTGGGAGGTGGGGCCTCCATGGATCAGACTTGTTTTCTCATAGATTCACAGATGTTTAATAGGACTGAGATCTGGAAAACTTGGAGGCCAAATCATACTCGTTGTGTTCCTCAAAGCATTCTTGAACCATTTTTGTAGTGTGGCAGAGTGCATTATCCTGCTGGAAGAGGCCACCGCCATCAATGAATGTCATTTCCATGAAGGGGTGTACTTGGTCACCAACATTGTTTAAGTAGGTGGTACATGTCACAGAAACATCCACATGAATGGCAGGAGCCAAGCAGGGGCGGACTGACCATTTGGAAACTCGGGCACTGCCCGAGGGCCTGGGGTCAGTAGGGGGCCCCATGAGATTCCCTTTGTACCTTTTTCATAGGCTTTTTTGAGTTTGGGCCAGGACACAGGGGCCCCATGATCCCATATTGCCCGGGGGCCCCATGAGTTGTCAGTCCGCCCCTGGAGCCAAGGTTTCCCAGCAGGTTTCCCCTCAACGTTCGGATCGCTTATCAGAGGTGATTGACAGGCGGTGAGGAGACAATGTGATGCCCCCCTCACCACTTGCTTTAGCCCTATTTTTGCTGAACATACATTTCACAACTTCATGTTTTGTACTCGATTGTGATTGAGGAGCTTCCCCATTTGCTTGAAAGGGTCACATTCAACAGGTTTTCTGTTCACCAATTGTAAAATGTTTGTATAGTTTTTGCGGCAGCCACAGCATGTGAACACCCCCCATCCACTGCCATTTCAGCTTAAGGGGGGGGGGGGGGGCACTAAAAATGTGGCTCAGCTGTGCATTTTTACTGCTTTCCAAATCTAAACTTACCCTAAAACCACTGTTGATCCAGAGGAAGGCAACTGATCTAGTGCGCTTCCTTGATGTGTAATATGCTATTAAAGAGAAAGTCCTCACATTGGATGACCTTAGCAGATCTAAACAGATTTGGGGAGGAAGCGTCCAAAATGTAAAAGAAAGAATTATTGACTAGACTGAGCTCATATCCCAGAGGTGTTCCAGTTCCTGCCTGCTTAATGATTGAATTGCTAAATGTATTTGACTTTTAGAGAAGTTAGTTAGGTCTTGTTTCTGACAGAGAAATTATGTATTCCCGAAACGTGCTGCTCTTTGTGTGTGTGCAGCGTCCAGCAAATTGCCAAACAATTACCGCCCGCATTACTCAACGCTGAAAATGTCTGCTATAGAGAGCTGAGAGGAGACAGCTATAAAAACAAGAGTGAGCATCTGTGTTTGATTGATAGATAGATACACTATTTTTCCAAAAGTATTGGCCCCGCCCTCCAAGTCATGTGATTCAGGTGTTCCAATCCCCTCCATATCATGTGATTCAGGTGTTCCAATCCCCTCCATGGACACAGGTGTATACAATCATCCCCTAGGCATGCAGACTGCTTCTACAAACATTGGTGAAAGAATGGGTCGCTCTCGGGAGCTCAGTGACTCCAAGCGTGGTCCCATGATAGGTGGCCACCTGGGCAATAAGTCCATCCGTGACATTTCCTGGCTACTAAATATTCAACTGTTAGTGGGATCATAACAAAGTGGAAACCACTGGGAACAGCAGCCACTCAGCCACCAAGTGGTAGGCCACGTCACATGACAGGGCGGGGTCAGCGCATGCTGAAGCGCACAGTGCGCAGAAGTCACCAACTGTCTGCAGAGTCAATAGCTAAAGACCTCCAAACTTGGTGTGGCCTTCAGATGAGCCCAACAACAGTGCGTAGAGAGCTTCATGGAATGGGTTTCCATGGCCGAGCAGCTGCATCCAAGCCTTACATCACCAAGTGCAATGCAAAGCGGCAGATGCCGTGGTGTAAAGCACGCCACCACTGGACTCTAGAGCAGTAGAGACGTGTTCTCTGGAGTGACCAATCACACTTCTCTGTCTGGCAATCCGATGGACGTGTCTTTGATTGGCGGTTGCCAGGAGAACGGTACTTGCCTGACTGCATTGTGCCAAGTGTAAAGTGTGGTGGAGGGGGGATTATGGTTTGTGGTTGTTTATCAGGGGTTGAGCTTGGCCCCCTAGTTCCAGTGAAAGGAACTCTTAAGGCGATATTTTGGACAATTTCATGCCCCCAACTTTGTGGGAAGAGTTTGGGGATTGCCCCTTCCTGTTCCAACATGACTGCGCACCAGTACACAAAGCAAGGTCCATAAAGACACGAAGGAGCCAGTTTGGGGTGGAGGAACTTGACTGTCCTGCACAGAGTCCTGACCTCAACCCCATAGAACACCTTTGGGATGAATTAGAGCGGAGACTGTGAGCCAGGCCTCCTCCCCCGACATCAGTGCCTGACCCGACAAATGTGCTTCTGGAAGAATGGTCCAACCTTCCCATAGACACCCTCCTGAACCTTGTGGACGGCCTTCCTAGAACAGTTGAAGCTGTTATAGCTGCAAAGGGCGGGGCCAACTCAATATTGAACCCTACGGACTAAGACTGGGGGGCCATTAAAGGTCATGTGTGTGGAAAGGGCGGGGCTAACTCAATATTGAACCCTACGGACTAAGACTGGGGGTCATTAAAGGTCATGTGCGTGGAAAGGGCGTGTCCAACTCAATACTGAACCCTACGGACTAAGACTGGGGTCATTAAAGGTCATGTGCATGGAAAGGACGGGGCCAACTCAATATTGAACCCTACGGACTAAGACTGGGGGTCCATTAAAGGTCATGTGCGTGGAGAGGCAGGCGGCCCAATACTTTTGGCAATATAGTGTATATACCCTCTAAATAAATAAATAAAAAATCATAGATTAATCTAAGGATAAAATTAGTTTATCCTATAATGTTTGAAGCCAATAAATCAATTTTTCTCCCAGAAAACTGAAGATAAAGGGTTTTTTAGTCTCAGCGTGCCATCTGGTGGTCAAGTTAAGCTATTGTTTGTACAAACGAATAGTTAATCAGTAATATGGCCCCCCAATCAGAGGTGGGTAAATATTACAAACTACGCCCTCTTGGATAATCCCTACTTAATGCAGTTTTTGAGAAAATAAGTAAGAGAGCTCAGAGAGAGAAGGGATGCTCATCATCCATCTCCATGGAGGAACCTTCATTATCACCATCATCATCATCACTCCATCTTGAAGTTTAGCTCCATCTTGAAAAAAAGATTCCAGCTTGATTTTCATCCATCTCCATCTACCAATAGCCATTTTGAGGATTTGGCCGAAAGCCATCTGAAGGCCGTATTAGTTCATTTACATAGGTACTAGGTGTAATCCTAGACTCCCATCTGTCCTTTCACCCCCAAATCCAATCACTGTCCAAATCTTGTAGACTTCACATCTCCAAGATACGCCCGTTCCTAACCTCGGAAACCACTAAGCAACTTATTCACTCCCTGGTTATATCTCGCTTTGACTATTGTAACTCCCTCCTCATAGGCCGACCTCATCGCAGGCTATCCCCTCTTCAGTCTATCATGAATGCTGCTGCCAGACTTATCCACCTTACTAACCGTTCTGTATCTGCCATCCCCCTCTGCCAATCCCTCCACTGGCCTCCACCACTCTCTGCCAATCCCTCCACTGGCCTCCACTCAGTGTCCTCCACCCCTCTCTGCCAATCCCTCCACTGGCCTCCACTCAGTGTCCTCCACCCCTCTCTGCCAATCCCTCCACTGGCTTCCTGTTGCCCAACGGATAAAATTCAAAACATTAACAATAACGTGTAAAGCCATTTATAACTCCGCCCCAAATTACATCACCGATCTTGTCTCTAAATATCACCCAAACCATACTCTCCGCTCCTCGCAAGACCTCCTGCTCTCTAGCTCCCTTGTCTCCTCTTCCCATGCTCGTCTCCAGGACTTCTCCAGAGCTTCTTCCATCCTCTCTGAAACTCTCTACCACAATTTATCAGACTATTGCCTACTCTGCTCACTTTTAGGCGATCTCTAAAAAATCGATCTCTTCAGGGAAGCCTATCCTGCCCTCAGCTAATAATGGAATCTTCTATTCCTCCTACCGGTCCATCCCCCACAGTTACTACCTTTTGTACCACTAGCCCCTCCCTCCTAGATTGTAAGCTCCCAGGATCAGGCCCTCCTATCCCTCTTGTATTGAACTGTATTGTTGCTGTATTGTCTCCCGTTATATTGTAAAGCACTGAGCAAACTGTTGGCGCCATAAATCCTGTATAATAATAATGATAGGTGATCCATTCCATCACACTTCGGAGGGTAACTAACAGTGTATGATTTGTGCTTGCTTAATTTAACATTCCATTTGCAATAATTTTACTTGTTTCATTTGATATTCACTCAGTTCCTCAATGATCACTCTAAGGGTTTTGTTTTTATTGTTTTACTTTTTTAGAGGAACTTGGATAGGGATTAGGGATATACGCTCACTGGCAACTTTATTAGGTCAGACAAAAAAGGGGAGAGAAAAAAGAGGGGGAAGGGAAAAAAATTGCAAATGGACTTTAGAGGCACAGAAACTCTATACACATATTAGTAAAATCATCTGTATTTTATTTTGACAATAAGTCATGAAAAAAACATATTTCAATTAAAAAAGATCCTTGTGCAATGTCCCCACAGACAATGTCCCACAAGCCACCATGATGAATGGAACAGAACTAGTGATAAAACATACAGTAACCACCAGAAGGTCCTATGGGGGGGAGACATTAAGCCGCTGGAAGAATGGCCCAACATGTTTTTGCGACAAACATTCGCTTCTTCAGGGACTTCGTAGTGAAATCTAGAAGAGATATACATATGTTGAATATTCCAAATTACATCATGTAAACACAGAAAAAGTCATTTAACAATATAATAAGACTTACATATGATATTGATATGCACCATGCAGCGATAAACCCTCAAATCACAAAGAGCAGGCCTCCTCTACGTTCCCACAAGGTAAGGGGCCATCCAGAAGGCCAGATAGTGCAGAGACCTAACTTTATTAGGTCCACCTTGCTAGTACCGGGTTGGACTCCCTTTTGTCTTCATTCTTCATGGTGTAGATTCAACAAGGTGTTCCTCAGAGATTTTGGTCCATGTTGACATGATAGCATCACGCAGTTGCTGCAGATTTGTCGGCTGCACATCCATGATGGGAATCTCACATTCCACCATATCCCAAAGGTCCTCTATTGGATGGAGATGTGGTGACTGTGGAGGCCATTGGAGTGCAGTGACCCCATTGTCATGTTCCAGAAACCAGTTGGAGATGATTTGAGCTTTGTGACATGGAGCATTATCCTGCTGGAAGGAGCCATCAGAAGATGGGGACACTGGAGTCATAAAGGGATGGACATGGTCAGCAACAATACTCAGGTAGGCCATGGTGTTTAAACAATGCTCAGTTAGTACGAAGGGGCCCAAAGTGTGCAAAGAGAATCTTCTCCACACCATGACACCACCACCACCAGCCTGAACTGTTGATACAAGGCATTCCATT